AAGCTTTGTTACTAGACCGAGGACGAATAGCCGGGCGAGTAGCAGGAAATAGATGTTTGTGTTTTTGTTGTAGCGTTTTTACGGTCGAAAAGTTGAAGGTGCATTTTGACGCATGGCATCAGCATTGTATACCCCTCTCCTATTATCATTAGTTAATACAAGATCAACGATATTCTGAATCTGCTCCTTTGCTTCTTTCTCGTGGTTCTGCTTACATGCGTAGTGATGGCACAAGGATGGTCGGATCTGTCGCATCTTGCCAATATGCTTGATCAAGTGCTACATATCAATGTAGTAATATACATTGCCTCGTGTAATGTCTGCTTGTCAAAACGTGGCACTGTGTATGCTGCAACACGACTCCTGTCATTCCCTCATTGGGATGGCGAGATCGCCCTTGCATGGTTCATCCTCGGCGATCATCATCAGCCGCGGCCAAGGCATGCAAGTGTCGTATCAGAAACCCTCCGCACAGCACTCTTCTAGACACGTAACACGTTGCGCAATATGCAATCGCATCGGGCCTTCCCCCGCGCATCTCGCCCATCGCATCTGGCCCTGGAAAGCGTCTATGTATGTTCCCTTAGCTTCTAGCCGCCTTCCTTGAGCGCGCATCAGCAATGCCACGCGTGCGCACTCGACACGTCGTCCTCAGCGTCTCCATCCTCTGCTGGATATACTATTTCCTCCCTAAAGACGAAGCCTTCCCGTCTCGCCATGCCGTACACGATCATGGTTCTACCGCCGCGTTGGCACGCTACATGAACGATCCATCTCAGATTCCGCATATCGTTGCGACGCCGAGTAGCTTCGACTGGAGTTCTGTGAACTTCACCTTCCCACCACCACAAAGCCCGAAACTTCCTCCACCTTTCACGGGTCGTCCTCGCATACAACACAAGTTCAAACCCGACCCGCACGATGTACATACCATACAAGAAGGGAGACGACGATATGTGAAGAGAGTGTTCGAGAAGAGCTGGGCAAGCTACAGGAGCAAGGCATGGATGAAGGATGCCCTGAAGCCTATAAGTGGGGAGTACGTCGACCAGTTTTCTGGCTGGGCTGCGACCTTGGTGGATTCACTAGACACACTTTGGATGCTCGGCATGCGCGATCAATTCTACGAAGCTGTCGAAGCGGTAGCGACGATTGATTTCGGCAAGTCTACGGCACCAACTGTCAATACGTTCGAGACGTGTATACGGTATCTGGGCGGGCTCCTTGCTGCATACGACTTGAGCGGATACGAGGTGCTGAAGGCGAAAGCGATTGAAGTAGGCGACCTGTTGTATGGCGCCTTCAACACCGAGAATGGCATGCCTGTCGACTTTATCAACTTCGAAGGCGCGAAGCAAGGCACTGGTTTGATTGTTGAGAACCAGGTAGTCAGCGCTAGTCCTGGTACCATTACGCTGGAGTTCAGCAGGCTGAGCCAGATTACCGGAGACGACAAGTACTATGCCGCTGTGTCGAATCTGATGGATGTCTTTGCGGAGAGTCAAAACGCGACAAAGCTGCCGGGCATGTGGCCTATGATGGTACACATGAGCGCAAAGGACGTCGTCTCTGGGTATCAGTTCACGATAGGCGGGAATGCAGATTCCCTGTATGAGTACCTGCCAAAGGCGCACGCTCTACTTGGTTCGAAGGAACCCAGTTCGAGCAAATATGAGGCCATGTCACGCGCTTTTATGGACACAGCGATGAACAATTTGTTCTTCGCACCTATGATACCAGGAAAGGAGGATGTTTTGATCTCTGGTAATGTCGATGTTCACGCGGATGGTCCTAGTCTCGACCCTGAAAGCGAGCATTTGTCTTGCTTTATTGGTGGTCTTTTCGCGCTTGGCGGGCGCCTGTTCGATAACGACGAGTACCTCGATACTGGAGCGAAGCTTGCCCGCGGATGCGCATATGCTTACAAGGCATTTCCCACTGGTATCATGCCAGAAAGGTACAACATGGTTCTATGCCCCAACTCCGATCATCGCAAACCGTGCGCTTGGGACGAAGAGCGCTATGCTGTAGATGCAGCAGCACGACCACAACACAAACCCCATTTACCCAAAGGCTTCACCACTGCCAAGGATCCCCGTTACATTCTGCGTCCTGAGGCCATTGAATCAGTCTTCATACTATGGCGTATCACAGGCGATCCAATCTGGCGCGAGACAGCATGGCAGATGTTCGAAGCCGTATCCAGTGCAACAGACACTGAACTCGCGAATGCAGCGATCCTGGACGTTACTGTCATTGGATCGAAGAAGGAGGATTACATGGAGAGTTTCTGGATGGCCGAGACGCTCAAGTACTTTTACCTGTGCTTTGCCGATACGGACTTGATTAGCTTGGATGATTTTGTGTTGAACACTGAGGCACATCCCTTTCGGCTATCTAGGGGGTAGGTGACGCGTATGTAACTCTGAATATGATGGAGGAAGTTTGTTGTCGTATTAGTCCCATATGTGCCCGCAACATCCATGGTAGACACATGCTGTGATCGGCGAAATTGCGTGAACCCTCGCAACAAGACGCGAACGCGACGTTAGAATAGGCGAGAAAAACAAAGGCCATCACCAAACACAATCAGCGTACACTTCACCCTCCATCTTGCACAACACCCAAACCCCCTACGCACATTACGCCCTCAATGTTCTCGACGCCCATAGAAGCCATGCCGCAACTCCGCAGCCCCACTCTTCAAGCATGTCAAGCATGTGGCGGCGCACGCCATGATTGGTGTACCTGACCGCGGCCGATGTTTCTAAACCAGGAACACACACGCGCCTAGCGTGTGGATGCGCGGCCCCCTTGAATCATCCCCTTCCAACCCCAGGCACCAAGACCTTTCTTTTCCCTCTTCATCTCTCTTTAACCAATCTCCCCACGACTCTACGTCACAGTCATTCTTTCTTCGGTTGGAGAGTAAAATACCTACACTCGTTCTTTTGCTGTTTATACTTCGGGCCTCAGTCGAACTCTTCCATCCCGCATAGATCCGCCCCGTTTGCCAACTTTCGCACTACCTACTACGTTACTACTATAATCGAAGATGCGTTTCTCGATCGTCGCCGCTGCGCTTGCAGCTGCTCCTGCAGTTGTCTCGGCTGCTGAGAAGGGAAAGATGGGATGGGCCCTTGGAACGAAGATGGGAAGCGGAGAGTGCAAGACGCAGGCAGACTACTCTGCCGACCTCAAGGCTATCAAGGATAACTCTGGCTCAACCATTGTTCGTGGTTACTCTGCCTCGGACTGCGATATGGCGAAGACCGCTCTCCCGGCCGCCAAGTCCGCAGGCTTCAAGGTCGTTCTGGGTATCTGGTACACTTCGCCCCTCCCCAAACCTCAAATACCACAACCAAGTATACTAACATGTGAAACCACAGGCCCGACGTCGAGGAGTCCTTCAACAAGGACCTCAAGGCCATCACCGACGTCGCCCAGCAATACGCCGACACCATCTACGCCGTAACCGTCGGCTCCGAGACGCTCTACCGCGGCAACTTCACCGGCGAGGAGCTCGCCGGCAAGATCAAGACAGTCAAGTCCAAGCTGCCCTCCGGCATCAAGGTCGGCACAGCAGACTCGTGGAACAAGTTCGCCGACGGAACCGGTGATGCCATCATCGGCACCGCCGACATCATCATGGTCAACGCTTTTGCCTTCTGGCAGGGCGCCAGCCGCGATAACGCTACGTACGCATCCCTTCATTAAACATACACACAAGAAAAGAACTGTAAAACTAACATGACTGCAGCCACGTCTACCTCGACGACATGTTCCAAGCCACCGCACACATCGAGAAAATGGCCGGCGGCCGCGAAAAGGCACCTGAGATCTGGACTGGCGAAACTGGTTGGCCCACTGCCGTTGGCACCGACTACGACGAGGCCAAGGGTGGTCTGGACAACGCAAAGCACTTTTACCAAACCGGGTTCTGCGCGCTGCTCGACTGGGGCTTCAACGGCTTCTACTTTGAGGCGTTCGATGAGCCGTGGAAGCCTGCTTCTATTGGTGACAACGGAAAGGTCGCTGATGAGACGACTTGGGGTGCTATGACTGCGGACCGCAAGACTAAGTTTGATCTTAAGTGCGGTGTTAAGGCTTAAGTGCTTTGCCTTCAAGGGGTGTGTATGTGGTGAATATAGACGGTGCGAGAGATTTTGGTACATGTCGATAAAAGGATGTGTACGCATATAGAGTATAGACGCATTGCTTCTCCAAACGGAAAGGCCACGGCCGGTTCTTTCTTCAATGTATTGTGCAGCCTGATATTGCTGCGAACACTTTGCGACCACATGCTTTCCCGAAATATCACTGAGCCTGGAAACTACACAAGAAGGACCTGCCCACACAGAAACGTACATGGCTTGTCTGAGAGCCAGGTAAAAGAGGCTCTAGTCGTGTGCATTGTATTTGCTGCATTCCATCCAGCCACGAAGTCAAATCTTTGTACTGACGCCAGGCTTGAACTGACGTCTTATGCAAAGGCTAGGTAAAAGAGAGACTCTTGTGGTTCTCATTGTATTGGTATTACGCCCATCCAGCGTGAACGCATTCTCGACCAAAAAGGAGGGTCGCACAGGCAAAAAGATACCCCAGCACCACCAAAAACAAAAAATGTTCGGTGCACTCTTACGAGCGCCGACGAGCTTGACTCATCGGAGGTTTGAACTCCGGACCTTCAGTGTCCTAACGAGCTGCGAAGCTCTTGTTAGACTGACGTGATAACCAACTACACCAACGAGCCTTGTTTGATGCAAGAATGGGATTTTGGAAAATAAAACACCCCGAAATTTTGGTCGTACGACGATAGCAACAGCTTCATTTCTACACAAAAAGGAGCAGTAAGTCTATGAGGTAAAGGTATCCATACAGGTAAGATGGGGGTGCGTTGGCGGAAGGGAAAATTTTCGGCAAACGTCAACATGGCGTCCTATCAAAACTGACCTAGCCCCACCAACTCCACATCGCGACAACGAGCTACACTCCAACACTTATAAACGATAAACAGGCTGCTCGATTTCCATTCCCGGTGTTGACACTGCAGAACTTGGTGCTGAGCCCCCTGAGAAGAGACTTGAACTTCTTGACCCCGCCAAGGACAATGGGTTTGAGTGCGAACTGGATGGCGTTCGCGACAGCGCGTATAGAGATTCGTAGTCTGGTGCAAACTCTCGCGACGGCTCCCTGGGTGTGTACTCTGGTAGCTGTTCAAAGTCCTCTCTGTCTTCCGGTGGTGGTAGGCGTTCGCGGGGTATGCGAGGTAGAATTTCCAGGGGTGTGTTCGAGCGGATGGTGAAGTGCTGATCGTTGTATTTGATGCCGATGGATATAGCAAGTGCGTAGCGCCGGGTTATTGTGTATGTCTTGAAGGTTGGCACGCACTCCGTGTCATCGATGAGACGGAAGTTTGACGTTAATGTCGTCGTTTTGTTGAACGGTATTGGGCGGTTCATACCGGTCCGCGATATGCAGGTAATGTGCTTAGATACAACGTCCTCGGGATCCGTTACGGTGTTTCCGCATTTTGTCGTTGAGTATGTTGAGATTGTGACCGTCAAGGAGTCGATGATGCATTCCCGCTCGGCATGGTTGGCAGGATCCCGCGCGTTGAGGAGGCTGAGTGACAACGGCATATGCTGTCCTGGGCACACCTTTTCGGGGTGGTTCAGTGTAGGAATGATCCGCGGCGTTGAGTTCATAGAGACGCCGGAGAAGACCTTCTTAACTCTAGATCCATCCTTCTCTTTGTTTGGTTTCCAGACTTGGCCGTGGAGCACAGAAGATTTGACCTGCGCCCTTCGTGGTATGTCCGCCAACGTTCTTGGATGGTATCGTAGTATGTGTTTACACCTCTTGGTCTCTGTCGAGCCACTGAGAATGAGTCTGGCCTGAACGAAGTATGATATTTGTGCCGCACCGCCTGGCCCACTGGTCTTGAGCTGGAAGGATGGCGGAAGTGGATGTGGCTCGCGAAGATAGTTGCAGCCGCGTACCATGCCCTTCATTTGGGGTTCGGTCGACTCTGGAAAGACAAACTCAAAGTCCCATGAGTACTTCCGCGGTCCAAGATTGCGACAGGAAACTAGCTCTTTCTCGCGGTTGAAGAGCCGTATCTTCTCCTCGTATTCATGCCTTTGTGCAGATGGGTGGGTTTTCGAGTTCACGTGTAGAGGTCTGGATGTCTTGGTGACACAACTACCCGCAAAAACCACCTTCAGCGACTCAATGTCTTCCTGCTCTTCTACCGCCAAACATATCTTTCCAGTGACCTTTTCTCCGCTCCTGTACGTCTTGCTGCTATCGCCATCGACAATAACTCTCAAAGCTGGCACCGTCATTTTTTCTGGGGAGAAGAAGAGATGATCAGCAATGCAGGGACCTCGCAGGGCTTAATAGCGGATGGGTGGGTGTGGACAATTCGCTCAGGTTCCAGGCACGCGGTTATCGGTGCAGTCCAGACTAGGAGAACGTTTGCCGGGGTAGGAGGTATGCCAAGGATGAGAGGATTTGCTGGGCATGCAACTGCGATAGTGATAACGGAAGGTGAAAGGTGCAATCCGCCCAAGAAAGGGAGGCTGAGTGCATGAGGATATTGGGCCTATATGTTGCTTACCGTTGGCTTCGCGCGTACCTTGCCATTTCGAACGTCATCTGGCTGCCAAGGATCTACCCTGAAGCCTTTGGGTTGAAGGCATGATGTATGCGCATACGTTGTTAGGGCTGCGCTGTCAAACCCTAGATGGAAGGGATGTTCGTGGTAGGCGTAATCGTGAACCAAGCTACCCGTTTCATCCCTATCCTGATCATATCGATCGTCCACGAATTGTCCAACTTACGCCGCATCACTTTTACAGGCCCGAATACCCAAGAGCCCTTTGCAGCCTTTCTTCCGCAGAGTGCTGGACAGCGGGATGCAGCCAAGCAGGCCATGCTGTCTTGGCTGGTAGTCTGGATTCAGCCACGCTGATACCCCAGATCCGCCCCGCTAGCATCTGTAGAAGAACCTTCGCCATGGTAACAGAGGAATGATTGTCTCCACATGTACTCCGCGATCCAAAATCTGGAGATCAAGCGATCGGTTAGCGACGCATATTGTACGGCTGTTGTGAGGAATCAACGTCAAAAGTTTGGAGAGAAGCAGAAAATGGGTGGGGTTTCTCGAGGCGTGCCACATCCAGCAACGGCGCCGCGGTAGGTGCTCGCTTCGAGATTGGGTACGCTCGAATGGCTCTTGGCCTCCACAAGACGACGATTGGCGGACCGATTTGCCTGTGCTGCTCGGGGAGAACGAGAGTCCAGCTGCTCACTTCTACGGAGGCGGGTTTGTTGCCCGCTTCGCCTCGTGCCACGATAACGGCATCCTGGCGTGAACACGGGAAGTGCGCCTTTGGTGAACATGAAATGAATGTTGTGAGCTGAATCCGGCGACGGCGTAGCGTTGGTGTAGATGTGGAGGAAGGACCACTCTGGGCTTTAGTTTAGTGGGGTTTCCAGATCGCACTAGAGCCGCACGTGGCGAGGTATCGATAAGGGACAGGACCTCGGGAGCCATCGTGCCATCTGAACATGCGGCTGACATTACACCAATTGCCTTGGTCTTTAGAATCGCAAAATCCTGCTACTATCTTGTTCTCATCTAGCTTCGTGTTTGACGCTACCCCCAAATCTTATTTAGTTACAAGAAACTTGAGGGAAATGAGAAAGCGTCACTGAGAACACGTAATTCTAGTAATCGAAGGTTGGTGTTGATGAGAAGACAGTTCGAAGATGCAAACCAGACTGCATCGATTCATATGCGACTCATCCTCAGTGTCTGTGGTGTTGGTGCCAGTATCGCCTGGGCATACCTGGCCGCGTCGAGGTAGAAATGATGCGCACCAGCTGATGTCTGGTCCTGATATTGATGCGTGAAGACGTTACTCAATCAACGAAACGCCTGGAAAACTTGTATCTAGAACTCGTACTCTTTTACGCCGTACAGAACTTGTGTGCACCTACTGGGTGTTGTGAGATCTGAAGTACCGAAACTCACGAGAGTGCAATTCTCACACAGACTTGATTGGTATGGTTCTCTCTATACTGCTCAGAAGTATGAGATTAGATACTGATTTATGTCGAAATTTCCCTGTACGTGGGATTGTTGTGGTTCTGGTGATGCAGGAATACCTCCAGTCGTCTTTCGGTAGTCGCGCCCAGACCTCAACGCGTGCTCACGCGTCAGGGTCCACTGAAACTATCCACGATCGCATCGCACCTTCACGCTCACCACTCCCAGTATAGTCACCCCGCAATCGCATACTCGCTATCTTTCGAACGACGTCGTCTTGAGATCCCCACATACAGCATCACACGACACAATGCCGCCTAGGAAGAGCAATGTATCGGCGGTGTCAAACGAAGAGAGTCCCGCACCACCCAGATCAGTACCCAGAGAGGAGAGCTTGGGTGTCGAGGTATGTCGCATGCGACTGAGTTCAATTGGAAAAGACTAGTACTAATGACGCGATCATAGGATCTAAACCTGCCAAAGTCTATAGTCCAGCGCCTGGCAAAAGGCGTCCTGCCACCAAACACCCAAATACAAAAAGATGCGCTCCTTGCTATGAGCAAAAGCGCAACTGTGTTTGTTAACTACATCACATCAACGTATGATATCCCCTCTGTCCTGGCGACAGAAGACTTACGCGCCAATGGCATGCGAGTTCTCATAAATGGACATTTACTAACAACCGTGCAGCGCCGCCGAGAAAGCCCTCGCCAGCGGCAAGAAAACCGTCATGCCGAAAGACGTCTTCGAAGCAATGACAGACCTAGAGTTCTCCTTTATGCTACCTCGCCTCGAAGCCGAAGTCACAAAGTTCACGTCGATACAAGCCGATAAGCGGAACACGTACAGGAAGAAGGTGCGCGAGGAGAAGAAAGGAACTACTGCTTCCACCGATGCAACGACCTCGACACCTGCCAAGTCAGCGGCAAACGGGGATGTGGTCATGGAGGGTGCGGACGATGGTGAGAGGGCGACGAAGAGGGTTAGGCGGGAGAGTGGAGATGCTGGGGATGGAGAGGTTACGGAAGAAGAGGGGGATGAGACACAGGATGTGGAGGATGAAGAGGTTGAAGACGACGAGATTGAGGAGGAGGTTGTTGGGGAGGAGTTGACGGAGGATCCGCTGGAGGAGAAGGAGGACAACAAGGATGATGACGATGACGAGGATGGGAATGAGAGCGATTGAGAGTTGGACTTGTCGCGTCTGGATGGGAATATATCACTGCATGGGACGGCGTTCGGGACGAAAGACTGGAAGTACGAATTGACACAAGACCTATCGAGGAATGGACTTGAATATGTTGTATTCTTCCTGAGATATGTTGAAGCTGTCTAAGCCCATCAGTCATCTCATTGCATGAAGTCGTTGCATTGCGCATGCCTGTACAGCTCGTAACGTCGGATACCCAGAGTGTCACGCGCAACTTGCAACCATGATACCATGTGCTTTGCGCAGCCCCCGTCGTGACCATAGTCTTCGCGTGTATGTGTCAGCGCTCCTCTAGCATGTTCATGGACTGCCTTCAACGCTTCGTCTTCGAGGGTATGCTAGCATCGAGCGGGTCACCGTATCGCACTACACATCTGTTAACATGCTTCTTGATAGTTAGTCAGAAGTAACTTACGCCTAATCATAGAGCCCTTGTCAGCAATGTTGTCCAACGCCCTAGCCTCCTCCTCCCTCGCCCTCGTGTTCTTCCACTCATAGCCCGGCTGATCCTCTTGCTTGCTCCACTGGTAACCTGTCTCAGCATCCTGATGTGTCCCACCCCCACTTGCACCGTTACTAGTCGCTGCTTGCGCCATACCGCCAGAAAGTGGTCGCTTTCCGTTGGAATTGACGCCGAGAGTCTCGCGAGTCGTGGATTGTGAGTTTGGTGGTGATATTTCGTTTACGCCAGCGAGGTTTGCGTTGAGGGGTGTAGCTGGGTTTGGAAGAGCTTCGTCGGGGAACATTTCATCGTCCGAGGCAACATTGGCGGGGGACGATTGCATGGTGGAGTCGCCGTCGCGGTCTGAGGGGTGGGTTAGCTCGAGACGCGGTCGTTTGTTGGACATGGTGAGTGGTTGGCGCGCAGTGTAGCCTTACCGGACATGTTGAAGGAATTTGCCGGGGTATTTCCAGGGCGATAGCGGCGGTGAAAGGGTTTGCGACGCGTGTGGTTCGTCGCGGTGGAAGGCAACAGTGAATGACATAGCGGTGGAGGAGCTAATCGCGGCCCGCCGCAGGGGTCAAGGTGGGGACTCTCGAAATATTGGCGACATCATACCTTGGAACTGATCACTTCTCCACGCGACTCAAGCTTTTGAAACAATACCTCTTCTACTATCGCCAGACAGAGCACCACACATAGAGATCATGGCGCCAAAGAACACACCCGCCGATGCTTGGGAGGACGACTGGGAATCCCTCGCGGATGTATGTATGCCCCTCTTCTTTGACAGCAACGCGCTCACAACGTATAGAAAGAAGATGAGAAGCCCGTAGAAGAGCAGCCAAAGAAGCTTACAAAAGCGCAACTCAAAGCTCAACACGCTGAGCTCAACAAGCAGCTCTGGCAGGCGGCGTAGGTTGCTATTCCTCATTAATAGCGACGCGACCTGACTGGAACAGCGAAAACCCAGAACCTCAATGGTACCCTGAAGTCCACCCCGCGCCCGTCGCAGCAACCTTCAAGCCGAAAGTCACGATGCTTGCACGCAAGCCCACTCCTCAAGTTCTCTCTCGCAATATGGCAGGCATGAGCCTCGACGACGACGACAGCGAAGAAGAGCGACGCAAGAAAGCAGCAGCAGACTTCGAAGAGCGCAAAGCACGTGCACAGAAGGAACGAGCAGAGAAGGAGCGCAAGTATGCAGAAGCACGAGAGCGCATCTTCGGCTCACCAGCTGCTTCCGCAGCAGAGGACTCGCGCAGCAACTCCCCGACCAAAGCTACCCGAGGGAAAGGACGAGGACGCGGTGGAAGGGACAGCCAACCTAGGTCGAGCAACGAGCAGTCGCCCGCCCATACAGCACATGCAGCTCCTGCGCGCCAACTCTTCGACCCTACCTACACCCCCAAACCCGGCTCCGTATTCATACAGAAGAAAGAATCTGGTATCAGTCGCCCATCCACACCAAACACACAAGAGAAACCTGTTCGTCAACCACAAGGACCCGCAAGAGGCGGCGGACGAGGCTTCGCTCCAAGAGGAGGATACGGTACTCAGACAGGTCCGTCAACTTGAGCTTGCCGAGGCTTCTGTCGTGTGGACACACCTCATACAGGAAAAAAACTGAACAGGCCTGCAGACTACATCAAGACAAAGACCTGCAAAGTAGGTGGCCCAACGTCAACGTAGGCTCCAGGGTGTTCATTTTTTTTCCTAGGTTGGCGTGGACAGACCTCTTCCGCGTCTATCCTCTGAGGCGTGGATGTCTCTTGTCAGGACCTTTGTTGACGGGGAACAGAGGCACTAGGGAACGAGTGACCGCTGCGTCCAGGACTTTCCGAAGAGCTTCCGCACAATGGCTCCACAGTCACCCGAACAGTCAATCGAGCAGTCAACTGATCAACTTCCGCCTCCAAAATGGACATACGCTCACACGAAGACGCTACAGGACGACCTCGCCAAATTCACCTACTTCATCAATCACCAAGCCGACAACATCTCAGAGCACGACCCCAAGCGGAAGGAGCTACTCAAACTTATAAAGAGGGAGGTGGAACTCGACGGCATGATGGGCCATATTGCTGCGCTTCACCCGCAGGTGAACGATTATGGAGTCGCTGGGGAGATTCAAGGCGTCGCACAAGAAATCCCTACCAAGAAGGGAGCTCTTCCTGAACACCTACAGCCACCGTACCGTGACACCGAGAGGAAACAGATGGCACGCGAGAAGACTCGGATGCTGAAGCATCCAGACAGCACGCCGGAGACGAGCGGTTCATGTGAGACCCCCGATACCAACACACCCGAATCGGCTGAGGGAAGTCACCTTGATGAAGGAGACAAGGATTACGTGCCGTGAGAAGATGAGGGTTATGGGAGTGGTCATCATCGGATAGGGAAGGGTTTGGGACAGTTTCATAGTAGGATTGGAGGATGGTCATTACTGGGAAGGGAAGGAAAGGGCTTGGGACGTTTTCACATCAGGATACTGCATTTGCTAGTAATGCTAGTAATACAACGAGATGTATGATATCAAGGATATCATTCTCAAAGCTCGCTCGCAACCTACCGTGTCAAACAATAGTAATGAGCTCCTCCCGCGCATCACACTTCACAACATCTTCCCAAGGAAAAACCGTAGCAAGACTAACAATCTCATCAAATACACGCTCTACTTTCCTGAGAACCCATATTCCACGAACGCCTCCAAGCGCATATAACCGATCACCAGTTTGCACTTCCTCGCGAGTCACACCAACGATATTCTTGTCGGTAAGAATGAGGTTCCTGGTATTGATCTCACGGAAAGCATTAAGATAGACGCGGCCATTGTGTATTCTCCACGCCTGTGCGTCCTGAGTGTCTTCAGGCGGACTCACAAGACCTCGGACCGCCTGGTACGACGCGTAGAACTCTTCTTCTGCATCGGGATAACCTTCTGTGTTTTCGTGCATAGTGCTAGCAATCGACATGCTGGTTGTCAGGTCGAAGATTGCCTTGGTGATCTCAGTGTCACTCCACAGATTCTTGTCGTGAAGGGCCTTGTGGAGTTTGTTCAAGAAACACTGAATTGTATCTTCTTCTTGTGGGGTAATGGAAGGTGATTTCGGCCGAGTTTGGTCTTGAGTGTTGCGCTCCACGTGCGTGATTTGAGCGATGCATCGACCCCAAATCCCGAGGCCCGCGCGTCGTCCCCGGCGTCCCCCGGTGGTGGCAATGTGACTGTAGTTGTGGGGAAATGCTATCGCGTTTCCAGCGATCCGTGTTGTTTTTGTAGTAGACCAGTCGGGGACCCACGAAGGAAGATCTCTGCTTGTCAATGAGGGACACCAATGGTCGGATAAGGCGTCAACCTGTCCGTTCCAGACGAGACATTTAGCAAAGTCTTCAAACACCTTTTCAACTGGGGCGCTGTAATCAATGCGATATCCGCCTTCTTTCATCTCACTGCACCGCGTGAAAGTGCTGTAGACGAAGTCTCTTGGGTCAGACGCTTCTGGTACACCGATATCTGCGAAGTACTTGCTGTGTTGGGAGAGGAAGTCTTTGAAAGAAAGAGCTTCCTCGTACAGATAGCTCTGGACATTTGCATCTGCCCTGGTGCCTTCCCAAATGTATACGGGATTGAGGAGACAACAATAGTACAGGACTAAAGTCTCTCGGTCAATATCGCGCTGCCCACAAACGAAGATGACGCACTTGTTCATGGCGACTTCGTGGCCGACCCACACACGCTTGAACCATGGGCGATCGAAGATAGCCTTGGTTCGTTCGAGGCAAACGGATGCAGCTCTTTCGTTGTAATTCTTTCTGAGTGCATCTAGTGAATCTGAACGGGCAAGACTTTCAGCATAACTCTCAATCTCCTGGAGAGCCAAATCACTCTCGTCTGCTGCAGGCCCGAGCCAGGCAATGACAAGAGCGGCAGATGAGAAGACGTGGCACATTCGCTGGACCTGCATGCCTTTCTCGTCTACATTGCTTTGGTCGACACAGACAGCGTCGACCCAGAAAACAATAGTCTTGCCCTCTTCTTGCAGATGTTCGAAGGCAGTGGCGAGGTTTTCAGGAACATGAAAGATTTTATCGCCAAGTAGTATCGAACGATGAAGCCAGGAATTTCCCCATGCATAGGATAACCCAATGTAACGGGGCGCTTGTTCCTTGGTATGTGAGAGCAGCTCACAGCGAAAGACCGTTTGTCCATCGAGGTCAATGTTGTGTGTCCTTGGAAGCAAGTACAGATATCGGAACTCGGCACTGGGATCCTGCAATGGTTGGTGCTTGAACAACTCTGCGCTGCTTACGTCGAACTCCTTCAGTTCCATGGATTTGGTGAAACGGTCAGTCAACACTGACTTGTATTTGTCGCTTTTGGAGCGGTACGACATGATGCCAGCTCACATGCCAAGGTTTCAAAGAAGAAGTAGGAAGAGGACGTAGGAGAAGTGGTAGTGCATACCGTGTGTTTGTAAGGTTCGAGCATGTTATTTACATGATGTTGCCGTCTTGAACGAACGTGAGGCACGGTTACCCCACCTTCACGTGAGAGTATTCCGAATATGGCAATATGCTAGACTCGATCCAGCAGTGTGAGTAACGAAAGTGCAGGCGCAGCCTCGAGTGTATCTCAGCAGTGTTGGTTCTCATAATAACAGCGACGAAGCGGTCTACCGTTCTAGACATTTCAGAAGTATGGGGGAACCCAAGTGCGCCCAACCCACACCATTCCGGGCAGTGTTGCAGCTGCGAATCCACTCAGGTTTGTATGCGTAGATTAAGTACAGCACGCTGTATGCGTGTCGTTCCTTCTTTTCTGGTATACTTCGACTCTTGCCCTTACCTGGATTCGAAGAGTATGCAAGGACTGTATAGCAGCAGAAAGCCCGATGACAGATGCGCGCAGCAGAAGCATCAAGTGACCTTGGTGCAAATGATATCAATGATGGGAAGTTGAAGTGTGGTTCGAGCTTACTTCCTTGACTCATTGAAGATGAGAATATCCCTACCAGAAAAACTACATTAATATCGCTGTCACGCTGCCTTGATCGAAAGAACCAAGAACAGCCTTCTCTGCTAGCATACAATCTCTAAGACGATGAGAAGATGTGAAGCGTAGCCGAAGCCGATCGCAAGCTCGACCAGACTCGATAATGTATTAACGAGGAATAAAGCTGGGATGTACCGATGTCTGGAGAAAGTAGACAGCTATACTCTTGCAAGAGGTCGTCCTGTAAGATGTCGTCCAGGGTTTCTTGGTCGTGAAGATCTACCTGGCGGTCAAGAAGTAAGCAGGTCGAAAATTTTCAAACACAGAATACCTGGATACAAAAGTGAAGCAACAAGCAAAGAGCTTCCTACACCACCAATAATCGGAGGTCACACCTAGTGTCGCGATGGAGTACATAAGCGCAAGTCAATCCCCTCACGCGACAACTCTAACCCCTCCCAGAAGGCCCGTATACCGGGCGGGTACATCAACTTGAAGTACAAGCTCCCATGTCAACATCGGATAAACACCTTGAGCTGTCTTCCGGTACCGATTACCCCTCGGAACGGTCAGCCATCGGCGCAGCAAGTACCTGTGCAGAGCCTCAGGTACCAAACACTAGGAGTAGTCTATGGGTGCTTTTCGTGGCAACTCAACACCCTTCCGCGGCTCTTTTCGACGGTAGACATGCATGCGGCATACCTAATATCCGTGAAGATCGTTTGGGTGTATGGTCGAGTTGACTAACCGTTTCGTCTAGCCTATCCGATCGTACGTCGATCGACGCAAGCCTCGTCATCCGCAGTCGATGTCGTTGAGATAGTCTCTCTAGGCAGCAGGTACTGTAGAGCCGAAGCACTGTCCTTTTTCCACCCGCCCGGCAGCCGCAAAAGGAAGAAAGACCGTTATACGCGTCTCAAGCATCGGCAAGACGGCCATGGGAATCGTAGTCCCGGGGTGGCGCAATAGCAATTCTGTGTAGCGATTGGAGAGCTACGCAAATCGTCCTCCGATATCACAGCGACGCCTACCACGATAGGGCAAAAGCAAACGCATGAGACTGGATCTACCGCCTCACGATAGCAGCGAAGCGGAAGGCGGAGACGCAGGACCCCTCTCACCGACGATTGACGAAAAAATTATCGATACCTCAACACGCTGATCGGAGCTCGTACGCGTTGCCTGAACGACGCACGCAGCGGACGGACGACGTAGGGGTTGGCTTGTCACTCTCGCGGAGCCTCATGCACTATCCATGCTTCAACCTTGCTTGAAAGCAAATATGGCGGTGGGCGAAAGCTATGACGCAGGACAAAGTCCACCTGTCTAAACTGCTCGTCAATGCAGCGCGCTGCTGGGAGAAGCCTGGTTTCCATGTGGCTCGCTAAACGGACAGGCTTCTTCCCTATACCATGACTCACCGCTGAAGTGGTGCTTTTTCGATGAGCGGGCGGCTGCGGAAGCGCGGAGTCTATTGCAATGATAATGTGTGGCGAATATATCAACAGTGTTCACAGGATAGAGAGCTGAATTGCTCGCGTGATCGCCTCCAGCTGTTTCGTCGAAAGAGTCATCGTCCGTGTGGCGAGAGTCGCTAAGTGTTTCAATTATTCGCTATTGTTTGACGGAAGCGGTCAAATCGGAGACGCAGTAAGGCCGCCGGCGGTGACCTGGCCGATCGATGGCAACGAAATGTAAGCCGAAGCGGACCAAGGCGATGGTGATGTTTGCCATCGAACAAGCCCCATCGCGAACGCGTCCGGACCCCTAGAGTGATCAATGAGAAAGTGTATTGCGCGTTGCTTGTGATAATTCGTCCGACGTCCGTGATGTTGAGGCGACATTCCGCCACAGGGGAATTCAACGTTTCGCTTGCCACATCCCTGCAACGCGAATCGTTGTGCGCATGTGACTCGGAGTGCCCATGCCAAGCGTGTGCACCGCCACACATCGTCGTCGAGTCTGCGGATACTCGCAATTACGGTGTATTGAATTTGCAATACACGAGCGAATCGTTGGGCTCGAGGAATTTATTCTAGGAGGTGCGTCATGCAGCTAGAGCGCTCGCATGTCGTCGACAGCGGTGCTCAGCTTGCGTCGTGGCAGACTAACATGGTTGCCTGCAATGCCTGGCGAATCCGCAGCGCTGCAGACATGAAACTGCATGCGATAGGGCTGCGCAAACCTGAGTGATGCGTCATAGCGATTGAGGTTAGTACTCGCGGGTGTCGCAGTTGCTTCTATACCGCCGCGTTTGTCTTATCCTAGTGGTCGTCTTGGAGACAGGTGGGAATACGGTGTAGAATCGACGGCGCTTCGTATCTCGCTGGTCCACTTGGTGAGAAAGCCTCATTCTGAAATCAGTCCATGACGATAGTAGCATGCGGGTGCGGAGAAAACAGTTCTGCAGGTCATGGGGAGTCATAGCAACGCATGATGTTGGTGGGTGCGAAGGATTACGCAAGGTGAGTTGTCTGATAGCAAAGTGGGTACTGGGAATTTTGACACTTCGAGAAAGTATTGTGGGAAAGCTCGGTAGGAACGCAACCCGATGAGCCCCAAGGACAAGGCCCGATGTAGTCCAATAAGGACCGAGCATCGGGGTCAAAATACAAATGAGAACTGTGTGCCGAGAGATTACAAGGAGCGTGTTGACGGGAGATACCAGGCTGTATGTGTCCAAGGCGCAGGCTTCATGCACAGCACGGATACAGGCGTTCCGCCGGAGCCAGTCAAATTGAAAGAGCGAGGTACTTGCGCTGCGAACTTGCTTTATCGAGCCGTAGTAGGTGCGAGCGGGGAGATCAAACCATGTAACCGCGACCATTTACTTTGTTGTTGACGCTTTTGATCGAATCAAAACGGCGCCGCTGGAGCGCTATGCAGCCGCGAGTGGGCCCGACATCGACAGTACCATATGCCTTGGAAGACGACTGCAGACAACGAAGTAGCGGTAAACAGCTGCGCGCCCCAGGCCAGCGAGTTGGAGAGGCTGTGAGACATTCGAGAAAATTTTCACGGGCGGGAAATTAGCTTAGGTACATGAGCAGAGGGAAGTTCGAGAAGGGATCCGAGCAATAGAGTGCGGCTCTGAGCAGTGGACAGGGCCTCCCTAGCAGTGATAATCGGCCCCAAGCGACGCGGGACGACGTTGAATGGTGGACCTTCCGCTGTTTCGGAGGGAAGGACTCCAGCCAAAACCTACCAGCCGTGTGCCGCGACGATGGGCCTTGTAGCGTTGGTACTAGGCAAAAGGTAGTTTACCAATGGGTACGTTTAGGAAATGGTCGCGAGCTGAAGGCGACGCTGGGTAGATGTCTGGAGATCAACTCGAGCTATATGTCGCTCGGTAGCTGGTCGGTCACGGCAGGATTGGCTGCGTACGACGACCATGTGGGAGGAGCTGCGCCGGTGCCAGCAGGTGCTCGCAGCCAGAGAAGCACAGGCAGAATGGGCCGCGAGTTCTGCCCAACGACGCATCTGGAGGGTGAAAGGGTGTGGTGGAGCTTTGTTGGCTGCAAGGAGGGCCGTTTGAAGAGCGTTCGGCAGCAAACGAAACACGCTGAAAACGGTGACAGCTGGATCGAAGACGATGCTGCACGGCATGTAGGACAGCAAATGAAGGGAGGTACAGAGTTGCGCTGCTTACGCTAGCCACGCTCGAAGGGGCATCTCTGAGGGTGTCCAGGATTACGGGTATATAGCGAGCAACATGATGTTTCCAATATTACACACCCAAAACAGAACAAATATAAAACAGGCTGGGCGCAATGCTCGTTAGGCATCAACGGGGAGTCAACACATGGTGTATACTGTAGAAGGCGTCCTGTCGACTGCGGGAGAAGAGTCAGAGAGCGGCTTGGACAGTGTAGGGTTCGGGGCTAGCTTCCCAGAATACTCGTGGGCAATATGGGCAGGAGGCACAGCATGGTGCCATGGTCAATCTGACCCGTAGATGAGGGACTGCTAACAGCCGGGGTCCCTTGGGCTGTGGTAGTGCGTGCATGGCGCCGACAGGGGGCGGCGTTAGGGTGGATGGGCATCCACAGTGGTCCGCGCGCGGAAAGAGCGAAAGAGGCTCGTCTCAAAAGCAGGCGCAGCCCGCCGTCGCTTCCTCGTTTGCGCACTCGAGCATCATCACCACATATTACCAAGCACCAGACGTCAACGTCTACACTCGATTAGGATCCTCCACCCTGGATCCTTCTGGCACCCTCTAGCAACTAAACGATCCTACACCCAATGTGCAGTAGACAGAGCCGGATTTCCCTTTCTCTCTCCTCCGTCGCTGCACCCCCATTCACATCCGCCCACTACCAACGCCCACGAAGACCCGCCTTCGGTTTGCACATCCCCAGGTGAAGCAGGCACCGGCCTGGGCTCCTTCCCCATCGATCCCGC